GACTTCCACTCAAGTGAAAAAAAGCACAAAATAACAACAGGCAGTGGTTTGGAGGAACCAGTTACACGGGTAGGTCCCGTAGCTTTCCACGCTAAATTTAACCCCTCCCTTTCGCTCTTGTTCTCCAAGCAAAAGGAAATCTTCAATGATCCTTCAGCCCTGCAGGTTAAGGGGAGCTGCAAGCTGACACAGAAATTGAAACAGCGAGCTATACAGGAGTGCGAAATACCTTAAATCTCCAGAATACTTGTCATCGTAAGATAAAGAGACCACAAAAGAAAGTTGTTTGTTACAGAACCTCACCTGCCACATCCTGCAAGTTAAGAAACTACCTTTGCATCCACCCTGCTCCGAGCGATCAGACCTGCTACCCAGCGTGCAACTTGAAAGCCATAGCTCTACCAAGCAAAATGTGAAATACCTGCCCTCAAGCAACAGTTTGAGTAAAGCCTTTCATCTCCTCTTACTCCATCTGTTTGCAGAGCTGCGAGCTCCAGGAATCCGAACGTCGAGATCGCCCTTCTTTCTGCTTGATCTCAGTGCCGAGGGAGTTCTCGCTTTCACAGCTGCGGTGCCTCCTCCTTCTCTTGGTGTGAAAGGGGCAGAGAGGCGGGCGGAGAAGGAGGCTGTTCGCCGGGGCCCTTCTATCCCAGGATGCCATTTTATTAACTTCTCCTCTGCTTTCACGTACCGTATAATCAGCTCCACATCACAGTGGTCAAGACAGGCTCTGAGACAGTGAGTATTTCCACTGAGGCTGTACAAGTGCTCTCAGATGGTTCAAAACCTGCATGTCCTATAACCATCCTAAGAAGCTTCCAGAACAACAGATTCCACTTTTGGGGGGTTGTGTCATCTGTCCCCCCCTCCTTTTTCTTCTTCTATTTGTTTTACCACAACGGGGTATTAGCAGTGCTGTAGAACCAAGGGGCTTTACAGGTGATTGTACAAGACAAGCCACATGCAGAGGCAAGGGAGTTCAAGACCCCCAATATATTGCTTTGTTTCTGAATTTTCTCTAGCCCTACTGCTCTCCCAGCAGTATTTGCAAAGCATCTTTCCTGAAAGGGATTAGATTCAAACTGCAGATCTAATGAACGCATAAAAAAAAAAAATGACACTACTTTTCTGTAAAGTCAGTTTTGAAATCAACTTTGATGCAAAACCTCATCTGGATATTCCTAACTGTTAGCTTACACTGACTTAGCTCGAGTCAAATTAATTAAGCTAAATTGGTGTAAGCTCAGGCTAAATGCATTCCAGAGCATCCATAAAAGATCTTGTCCCTGTTTGAATAAAGAAATTTCAAAGCTAATGTCATTGAAAACGTGATTTATCATGGTAAAAATTGATCTTGAAAATACACCTAGGGAGAGGCATTTTGTTGATGGAGCAGTAGCTGTGGAGTGGTTTTATTTTTCACTGGTAATGCAGGACAACACCATTCAGAGGTGTGCAATGTGCAAGGGAAATAGAAGGGTAAGGAGTAGAAGAAAAGAACATTTTATCACAGATGAACAGTAATCTTATTCCTACCTCAGCTTTCTTTAAACACTTGACTGGCTTCTGTTGGTCTCAGTGGAAGCATGTGTATACTAAAATCATTGGTAATTTGCTTGTCAGAATTGAAGAGTATGAAAAAAACCCAAGACCGTAGCTGAACAGCGAGAGGCTTTCATGCCAGTAGGACACATCAAGCACCAGTGATAACCTAACTGGTGAAAATGAGTTCCATGTTTATGTTTGTTTATATTCAGTGGGCGTGTACAACTAACCCAAATCTCAACTCAGCAGGGGTATTTTATGCCCTATGCTTGAGAAGAAAAATGTCAGAAACTGAAAGCTAAACATAACAGACAACTATGCTCACCCAGGCTGATTAGAAGAGGGGCTTTAAAAACTTTTATTTAATATATTAAAATGCTTGCTGTCAACACCTTTCATGCTATGTGCTTGAATATCCTTGATTAAGGTTTGTGCAGCTGTGGTTCTCATACTGAATTAATTTTGTAAATTGTGGTGAGATGATAGAAGTTTTCCAGCTGTGTAATCATTAATTAACTTGGCTGCATTTGAGTGGCTCCAACCCATGCTTGTCTGTGAAATACTCAACTTAGATGAAACATCACCTCTGCCTTCTGCTTGGTTTTTTCTTACAGAAAGAAAACTTTTTTCCTTTTTCCTATTTAAAAAAAAAAAAAGAAATGGAAAGTGCTGCAGGATGATTTGGTAGATTAACTTTTTGCCTTTCCCATACTTTTATAATTCTCACACGTAGGGGATGCTTTGGATTTTAAGGGTTTGGGAGTAGCGACTTTCTCTTTCTACATGTTCATACAATGCTAGTAACAAAAGGGCTCTAGCTTGTGGCTGTAATGTAAAGTCTAAAAACAGCTTTTGAGGCTTTTCCAGAAAATTCACATAGATGGGATACTGAAGACCTGTAGCAGAAGTGAGCCAGAGGAGATTTAACTGGTTGTGACCCAACTTCAATTTTTTTGGGCAGTAAATACTTTGCGTCTTGTTATCTGCACCTGAGAAGAAGTGCCCAGTGTCTAGTCTAGGGCCTGCAATTCAAGAGGCATCATCTACTAGGCAACGTATGTACATCGTACTAAAGGGAAAATGACCTGTTCCTTAATGGAAGAAATTAGTCAGAGCTGGATGCTGAGAGGTGAGCTACTTTATGCCCCCATATTTACAAGAGTTAGTCAGGAGAAGCTGGGCACATCGTACTTCCTTCAAAGAAAGTCACAGTAACTTATGCCCTCCTCTGTTTTCTTCTTCTGGAAGTCAAAGCGTGTTCTATGAAACAGCAGTCATGGAGGTAAACAAGTAGGTTAAGGACTTAAATTGCAAAATAAATTACAGTTAGAGCCATTTATTTAATTATTCTTCTCAATACTAGCACGACGACAGGAGATTAGATGTTGCAAAGGGACTTTCTGGAAGGACTTAAATTTGCAACTTTCTGGTCAGAATGAGAATGGACCAAGAGACTGAACTCTGAGTGCCTTGACGTCTCTAACTAGAGTCTTCTTGAAAAGCTCATTTACATCTAATTAAGCGACACTATTTTGTTACCTTACTCAAGGCTGTTCCTTCCGCCTCTACTAGGAAAGTGCCAGTCAAGTGTTCCATAATGATCCTGCCAAAGGTGGACATCTTGTCAGCAG